GTAGCATCCCTTTGTACATAGGGGAATAAAATTCACCTCGCAAAGGACCAAACAATACTAAATGCTCTTCCTGTAAATTTAAATGGTCAGTTGATGAATTTATCGAAAAACAGCTTGTTTATTTTCAAAGTTATTCCGCACTTTTTAGGAGCAGACTGACATGATGTGGTCGATTGTACAAGAGACTTCAGACAATCACACACTTTACCAATCACCGCTATTTTCAATTATTCGGGACACTTATCTTAAGTACGCGTGTTCTTCCGATATCCCTTGCTTTGGTGATATTGTAGCCGATGGTTTTCAACATTGTAATTCAGCAGAAATTCACGCTATTTCGGACTGATACACTGCTCATACCACAGTACTGTGATAAACGTCTGCAACAAACCTGTCACGGTGATAACCTGCCTGGTGCATATATTTGACAGCTATTTAGAAGTTTTATTATGGACAGTTGCAGGGGATGAACTTCAGATTAACAGCCGCATGATCTCTAATTTAATTCCCTTTACAGGCTGTCGCTTCTTTTTGACACTTCTTCCTGTTTTTGTTTCACTTCTTCAGTTCAAAATTATGCTCCCTAGAAACAATCCGAGGAAAAAGGATTATACGGTAGAAAATCACGATTATCAGGTTGCTCAAGAACGCGTATCCATAGGTTTTGATTCAACAAATGAACGAAGTGGCATTTTCAGCGACTTGGTGAAAATTATTCTGAGGCAACAACTTGTAATCAATCATATAAAGCCTCTAATTCTATCCATGTCATATTTGTTGATATGCATTAATTTCCTGAGGCAAACAAAATTACAGCTGAAATGCAACTGGTTATTCAATAAGTTACTAATATTACTAACACATTTAACATTGATATGATTACTTTATAATCACGGTATGACGTACCGTGTTATCAATAACAATGAACTTGTCAATGTAAAATATGCAAACATCAGAAAAATGAATTCACTTTAGCTGCAAATAAAATGACAGACAGATACCAACAAGAATGGCATTTTGGTTTACTCATCGAAAAGAGACATTTCTAATATAAGGCCATTGCGAACACAACACTCAAAAAGAAAATTTCACATTTAGCATGTGTCCATCCTGTGGTCAAGTCAGTTCAGTTCTCCCAGGACGAATTGTGGCTCTTGCCAATCGCGCGTCCAGTTCTT